TCCATGAAACAGCACCTACATATTACAATGTGTATTTCATGGCCGAGTTCCCAGGAGTTTATTGGAAAAACCAATGCCCCGGTGTCGTTCGTCGAGACATTCTCACCCGGGGAAACTCTTGCTTTTATCATTAACCACGAGGATGCAAGAATGTTGGCTGATAGTACGTTAAAAGGTAGTACACGAGATAAGGACGGGGTAGGTTAGACAGGGGAATGTGTGTCGAGTAGTCTGCTACACTTTCGAATCCGTAACAGAGCTGCAGCTCGAGGAGCTTGCTGTGTGCGTCATACATAATGCAGGGACAAAGTAGAGATGAACGGCTGCCGAGTAACGTGCATGTTAAATCCGCAATGCAAATTTCACGTGAAAACTTCCGATCGGTCGTCCCATCGCATCGCGACGAATTCCTGTTTTTCATCAATAATTTACCCTCGCTTTCCTCTCTTTCTTCCCTACCTGACCAGAGAGCGTGCGAACTTCCATCGGGGGTATCTGGCATGTTCATCTCAACGTTCGTTTCGCTTTCTTTCCATAAGAATAGAATACATTTGCAAGAGACGAGAATGAACTATCGAGATCTGCAATGAATACGTTCAGTCAGAAACTCGCGATGCAGTGTCGAGTGGTTTGGGTTTTCGTTTTTAATCCTATCTGGCAGTCCCCTTATACGTTATTTGTTCTCTTCTTCTTTTTCCTTCGTTTCTTTATATTATATTTATATTAGTTATATTTTGTTATCCTGTTTTTTGTATAGTGTAAAGCCACCTTATAAAGTGACTCGTGTTGTATTGGTTAATCGAATCGAGCCATTCATCTTCACCCCAATCGAAACATCCCCTCCGTCCTGCTCGATCGAAGCTAAAAAGTACTAGGCTGCTCACGTGCTAATCCCACGTTAGACGAGTCCTGCTCGTCTCATTTACCGATAGATAGATCGAATTACTAGCGGACCACCGGCGGATAAACAGCAAGAGTTACTTTACACTGAATTAGGTCACCTGTTCCTTCGGTCTCCGCAGACAGGAAGTCGTTGAAGTTCGTCGATTACACGGTGGTATATCCCCTTTGGCTCATTAACGCGTACTATTCATTCGTTGTGACGCATTTTTTGATGGACTGGTCGTTTCAATCGAAAAGAAGACGAGGGAAAAAGAAACGTTGACGCTGCTGGCAATCTGTTCCAAGTACTCATCATCGTAGCCATCATCTGGCTATTTATACAAAGCTGACGCCCGCGTGAAATTAAACTGTGCGGCTTGATTAAAACGAAGCGTAACCGTCGCGCGAAAGTATAGGAAGAGGAGGAGAAGGAGGAGGCCTCTATCCGCCTTATTTCCTCCGTGGCCGGAGTCGTTAGCGGCCTGTCTCCTCAACGATTAGATCATCTTCACCCTTGCGGCGTTTTCATCCGCGACGACAAAGCCACGGCATATCCCGGATGCGATGATTATCGTTAAGAATTACCGAGTCTTACCAGCCCCTTGCTCTTGCCAATCTGTTCGTTCCTCTCTTTTCTTCTTTCGATCGTTGGCTGGCCATTCCTCTCTTTCCTGTCTTCGAGACAGGACGACCACGTGCGCCCTGTCAGGGCCCACGCGACACCCATTACGAGCAATCGGCCCTTCAAATGCACTATAAATGACGCAGGCGATTCTTCAATCTCGCCGTGGAATGCGTTTTCAGCAAGTGGTCACGCTTATCGGAATTATAATATTATCTAGTTGGAGCACAACCGGACAAGAAGAATCACCCGACTCGTTATGCAACAATGTGTATACCCGCGACGCGATCGTTGAAAATTCTTCTTACAAAATGAGATGGACGTAGATTATGGTCGCACGAAGTGATCATGATCGTTTGATACATAGTTAGACGCATGTTATGATGCAAGCATGAATTTTATATTTCCTTCTACACCGTGGGATCGTTACTCGTGTATGAATTAAACACGTGAGTCGTCCAGACGAAACAAGGTTGTCTTTACAAAAAGTGTTTTACTCACTTAAACTCGTGTACAATACATTATTTCGTAGTATAAAATTACTTTCCTGTTTACATACTCACGAAATATTACAGTACAATATTACAGTACATTTACATCGTGTATGTATCACACGATACGACTACTAGTATATTACAAACGTTCAAGCGCTGTGGCTTAAAAAACATTCGAGAAACCTTATAAACACATTTTGATTCTATGGTAAAAAGTTTTGTGACAGAAAAATTTGTTAACTAATTACAAGCGCACATTGATTAATATCATTATTATACATCACGAAAATTTGATGATAAAGAGACATGTACAGCTGAAGGGAAATCGATTATATAGAAATATTAAGTAAATTTAGAGTAATATCATTTAAAATTGTCAATTTAGCCTAATATTTCACACAGGGAAAAAGGATATTGGTAATTTCCCCTAGCACCACCACCACACAAACAATCATTGGATAAAGAATTTTGAAATTATACGATAAATTGATCGCTTCGTTCTATCACGAATAAAGTAGTATGCTTTAAAAGCATTCAGTATTTGAACTGAATACTATTGAATACTATTATATACGATTAATAAATAAAATTCTGTATGGAACATTGTAAATAGATAAATATCTTAACAGAGTTAAAATAAATATCGATTGCATAAAGACGAACGATTCTTTTCTTCCATTTTAAATTAAGAATACGTACTCGTTGATATTCTAAATTATAAAGAATTCAATTTGGACGGGGAATTTTTTGGCACGTAGTGGTCCATAGCATAATGGCACTTTCCAAAACCACTTTTTTAGAAGTGGAAAAATTAATCGTATTGATATTTTGTTTTCTAAAGTTGCTCCACTATATCGTGATCGTTTTTGTAGGAAGATTGTTTTATACTAGTTTTTTGAGAGTGCTTCGTCCTCTGTAATTCTTTAGCGAAATACATTATCGTCTTTTTAAGTCCTTCGGCTAAAGGAACCTTTGGTTCCCAATTCAAATACTTCTTAGCTCTAGTAATATCGGGTCTCCTTCGTTGTGGATCATCTTCGACCGCGGCAAGTTCGACTATCTTACTATTAGTACCAACCAGATCCTTTATTATAAGGGCAAATTCTGTAATCAATTACAATTTACTCGCTGTATATTTTCTATAAAATATTCGATCAATTTTTCTAAAAGTATTTGACAATACCATATTTACCTTCTATTGTATGCTCGACAGGATTTCCAATGTTTATTGGTTGAGTGTAATTAGACGCCATTAGGGCAACTAATCCATCGACTAAGTCGGATACATATTGAAAAGATCGCGTCTGTTTTCCGCTACCGTATATCGTAATCGAGTCATTCTGTAACGCTTGTAGAATAAAGTTCGAAACTACTCGACCATCATTCATGTGCATCCTCGGCCCAAATGTATTAAAAATTCGGGCAACACGCACGGAGATGCCTTCTTGTCTCATATATGCATAGCTTAATGTTTCTGCTACGCGTTTTCCTTCGTCGTAACAAGCTCTTGGACCTATGAAAATCATATATTTAATTTTTATTTTACTATCTTACATTTTATTAAACAAATACAGTTGCAATTATTTTCATATATACCTATAGGATTCACGTGTCCCCAATAAGTTTCTGATTGAGGATGTTCATTAGGATCTCCATAAACTTCAGATGTGCTAGCAATTAAAACTCTTGCTCCTACCCTTTTTGCAAGACCTGATATGATTGGATAATTATGTTTACTGACTACTTAAGTGAGATTCTCAATGCTCTAAGTTGACACAGTGTTTACATACCTAAGATATTTATTGTACCTAATGTATTTGTTTTTATCGTTTTAACTGGATTAAGCATATAATGTGGTGGACTAGCTGGGCTAGCAAGGTGATATATTTCATCAACTTCTAAATAGAGAGGTCTAACAATGTCATGGTGAACAAGCTCAAAATTTTCGTGGCCAACCCAATGTTCAACATTACGTTTCCTGCCAGTAAAAAAATTATCTACAACTATTACTTCATGGCCAGCAAGCATTAAACGGTCGACCAAATGTGATCCTACAAAGCCAGCTCCACCTGTCACCAATATCCTCTTTCGATTCTTATAGTTAAGAAATTTGACTGTTGGAAAGTCCTTTGATACTTTGTTCTCAATTTTAGCTTCAAGATGTTGCAGTTTGCCCTCTAATTCACGAATTCGTATTTTTGCTTCTTCAATATCTTTGATATCAGTGTAACGTACATTTTCTTCAGACTCTTGAATTTTTTCATTGACATTTTCAATCTCATTTACATCTTCTAGACGAGATTTGCGATCTCTTGGATGAAGTCGGGCGAAAGATTGTTCATCTTCTGGATTAACTAATGTTCTGTAAAATCCTAACACTGCAAGAAGATAAGTATATGACATTGATTTTATCATTCAAGGGCAAGTGCTCACAGCTGTAAAGAAACATTAAATGCTTGCTAGAAAGCAGCAATAACATTTACCTAATATTATACAAATCACGAAGAAGGCAACCTGTTTCATCTTTCGCGGAGTGACAACCATACTTCAACATTGCACATGTCATGGAGATATTTACATTACTTCCCTATCAACTTGTCACAGACTAAAGTCATGATAATATCTAGTAGATAAGATGTTCAATCGCCACAAATATGTCATTTTCAGGTTTCTATAATTAAAAGACATAACCTCTTACATCATTACCTTTCATCGCTAAATTTGCGATACTTGAAGCGCTATTTTATTTAATTATTGACGTAATGTTGGTGCTGCTCTCTGAACACCATAACGCAAACGTTTCACAAATTTTGTTTCTTATTGTCTGTTTGATCCATGTTTGATCTGATGTATCGTGGGCCGATAACTTAACCTCAACATTTTCTGTGAGTACTCACGCAGGCGCAGATGCTGTTTTTTGATTGATATATAAGGCTGTGGCAGTACAAAGGAAACATCTCAAGTAGTTTTTCTGGAGTTGCAGTGGCAGTGGCATTTGAAATATGGCAGAGGTCATTGATTGTAATTTTCCTGTTTGGGGTCTTTTACCTAAAAAAGAAACTGGTGTCACTCAATTTCTTGCAAAATATCCTGAATATGATGGAAGAGGAGTCATCATTGCAATTTTCGATTCAGGGATTGATCCTGGAGCTCCTGGTATGCAGGTAAGTGAAGCTTTTATATAGACACGCCTCGCGATTGTTCAAGTCTCTGCTTTTTCTTCCACTTTTCTTTCATTTTTAAATTATGACCAAATATCATAATTTTATTTCTGACAGTAATATATATTGTCAAAAGTCTTGGCTTGCTGAATTCCTTTTGTTTCTTATAAATTTCTTTGTGTTTTCTTTGTATACAAAGTGGAAGTCTTTGAATAATTTTATGTGAAATTAATAATTTAAATTTATTCATCTTTTCCTTTATCTTTATTTTGTAATTACTTCAATCTCGAAGATTTTTGTTACATTGTAATATAATCATTGTTTGCTATTTTGTGTCAATTTTGTTGTAAATTAACAATTAACGTGAACATTGTTTACCATGGGATTATAGGTGATTAAATACTAAAATGAAATACATTAGTCATTCCTCCTTGCTATTAAAATTTATAAATTTGAATCAGCCTTTCTTGTATGATATTTGTGAAATGATAATACAACAGAATTTTCTTGAACAAAGAAGTAAAATTAAATTTAAATAAAATGCTCTATTTTATAACAAATACATTTAATATAGGAAACTTCAGATGGGAAGCCAAAAATTATTGAAAGATATGACTGCAGTGGAGCTGGAGATGTGGATACCAGCAAAATTGTACAAGCACCTGATGGATATATAATAGGGATAACTGGTCGTAAATTAAAGGTACATTTCAAATAATGTCTGAAATTAATAGTGCTCACTAGATACACATAACAGTAAAAGAAAATTATTTTTCTCTCAGGTTCCATCCAACTGGAAAAATCCTTCTGGACAGTATCACATAGGAGTAAAAAATTTGTATTCACTATACCCAGGAAAATTAAGAGAAAGAGTATTATTAGAAAGAAAAAAGCGATCATGGGACACATGTCAAAAATCTGCACTTGCAGAAGCATCTAGGCAATTACAAGTAAATAAATTAATAATTGCATTTTGATTGCATATGATAGACACAGAAATAAGAAACTTTCATTTCAATTTTATTTATTTATTAAAATTTGATATCTTTAAATTAATCTCAGATTAATTAAAAGCATCAAATATTTAAGAATAAAAATGTAAATAGGCTTTTAGACCATGTGATCCAAAGATAGGGTTGTTGTGGATATGTTGAACCATGCAATCAAATGAGGCCAGTTTCACAATGTGTCACAGTGATCTGTATCTAATGCTATATTTATAATTGGCAGTTCGATCTATTGTAAAGGCATTGATTCGTTGCATAATACCATGTAACGTTCTTTTATATTTTTTAATAGTGTGCTTCGCAACAAGAAAATGATTTTAATTAAGATATAAGCAAATATTTTATGGATATGTAATTTTCCAATAAATAAGAAACAACTTGATTTTTACGTTACTCAACTATTGTACATAGGAATTTGAAGCAAAGAATCCACAAGTAAACAGTTTAAAAGAAAGGCTAGAAAAAGAAGAACTTGAAGCTAGAGTTGAAATATTAAATAACCTGGAGAAAAAATACTCTGATGTAGGACCTACTTATGACTGTATTGTTTTTCATGATGGTGAAGTTTGGAGGTAAAGATATATGCAGGATATTTAAGATTTCAATTAAAACATTTCCTTTATAAACATTGCTATTTGACTTAATTGTTTATATTCTGTTATAGAGCATGCATTGACACTTCTGAGGAAGGTAACTTAGAAGCTGGTGTCTTTCTAGGCGAATACACTTTGACAAGGGAATATGCACCCCTTATACCAGAAGATCAATTGAATATTAGTATTAATGTTCACGACGATGGAAATACGTTAGAAATCGCTGGTTTATGCTGTAGGTATTAATGAGATTCGATTCGTTATTTTATTTCGTTTTCGTAACTACAATTAATCTCGTTATATTGCAGCAAGTCACGGAACGCACGTAGCTTCAATTGCAGCAGCGTATTTTCCCGATAATCCTGAATCAAATGGTGTAGCTCCTGGTGCTCAAATTATTTCATTAGGTGTCGGAGATGGCCGCATCGGTACAATGGAAACAGGAACTGCAATAATACGTGCAATGATACATGTAATGAAACACAAAGAGAAAATACATGTAATTAATATGAGTTATGGAGAACATCCTCATTGGTCTAACACTGGGAGAATAGGAGAATTAATGAATGAAGTTATCGATAAATTTGGTGTAACATGGGTAGCATCTGCTGGTAATCGTGGACCAGCTTTGTGTACTATTGGTTAGTTGAAAGAACATTCGAATATATTAAATATATATTCGAACATTAACATCTAGTACATCCCATCCATTTTAAAATCATATAGGAACACCACCAGATATTAGTACTAACAGTGTGATTAGTGTTGGTGCCTATGTTTCTCCTGATATGATGGTAGCTGAATATTCTTTAAGAGAAAAAATGCCGGGCATGTCATACACGTGGTCATCTCGAGGTCCAATGATCGATGGTGGAGCCGGAATTACCGTATGTGCTCCAGGAGGAGCTATAACTAGTGTTCCCAATTTTACATTAAGAAAAAGTCAACTCATGAATGGCACAAGCATGGCTGCTCCTCATGTTACTGGAGCTATTGGTATATATCAACATTTCTAAAATATAAAGTTTATGTTACTGTAATGAAAAGAAGTATATTTTAATATGGTACTTGTATTACAGCACTACTTATGTCAGGACTTCTTGCCAAAGGTTATCCTCTGTCTCCATATAGCATAAAAAGAGCACTTGAAAATACAGCTCTATATATACAAAACCTAGACCCTTTTGCACAAGGGTCAGGGCTATTACAAGTCGAACGTGCATTCGATAATCTTCTTACTTACAATAACGTACCTGAAAGGGATATAAGATTTACCATTAACTGTGGTCCAAATAACGCCAAAGGAATCCACATGAGAAGCGGTGTTATTGATCGATCAAAAGATTATGCTATTAATGTTGAACCTGTATTCCTTAATAGCGAAAATACTGGTATGATTTTTACATATGTTATTGTAATACTATATCTCTTAGTTGGATGTGATTTATTATAATACTTGGATACTTTATAGATCCTGCAGTTAAAATTGCTTTCAATTTGAAATTAACTTTGGTATGCGATGCACCTTGGGTACATTTTCCAACACATCTTGATTTAATGAATATGGTTCGCGCATTTGCTATTAAAATTGATGGATTTAATTTACCCGAAGGTGTTCATACAACTAGGTAAATACGTTAGGACTAACATATTTTTTTTTATATTAATAATGTGTAATATCAGTACTAATTGTCATTTATAGTGTACGAGCGTATGATGTAACAGACGTTGCAAAAGGACCAGTGTTCCAAATACCAATAACTGTAGTGCAGCCACAAACACTGCCAAAAACTGCGGTCCTTCCAGACTTAGCATATACAAATGTCTTATTTAAACCGAATACAATTCGTCGACATTTTATTCTCGTTCCTGAAGATGCAACATGGGCGGGTATGCATTTTCAGCAATATTTATTTCATATGTACAATATTGAACACATAAAATGAATGTTTTAATATAATTCAATTCAGTGGTTAGATTGAAGAGCACAGAAAAAGATAAAACTGGAAGATTTGTGATTCATAGCGTTCAACTGAAACCACGTTTATCCTGTAAAACTCTTGAAGTTAATAAGTTGTTCACTGTTACTTCTCAATCAGAAATTGTTCATCCATTTGCTGTTCAGGTATTATTAATTCTCTTTATACATTTTAACAAAACGTTTAGTATTATCAAATAAGAATTTAGGTGTAAGTATTATCAAATAAGAAACATATTTTATTCATAGGGAGGATTGATCTTAGAAGTGGTCATCGCGAAATATTGGGCAAACATAGGTGACATGTTAGTGGATTACTTCATTGAATTTCATGGTGTTCATATCATAAATGGGAATCTTACAATGCAATCTGGAGATGGAATAAATCGCTTAGAAGTGCGAAGTTCTCTTAGAAACGAAGAAGTAGTGCCCAGTATTTGCCTTAAATCATCCGTACAAATATTGAAGTACGTAAACTAACAGTGTTGCACACGATGTATATCAATGAAAATGAATCAATGGAGTTCTACTTTCTATCCTAACATTACAGACCCACTGACGCAAAGATCGCTCCTTTACGAGACCGAGATATTATTCCTCCTTCACGACAAATTTATGAATTGCAATTAACATATACGTTCCACTGTGCAAAGGCGACTGAAGTAACTCCAAATGCCGCGCTGCTTAGCGATTTATTATATGAAAGTGAATATGATAGTCAGATGTGGATGATTTATGATACTAATAAACAACTTATTTGTTGTGGAGATGCGTACCCATCCAAAGTAAGAACGAGTATATTAATATGAAACAATGAGGAAATAATGCTATTTTTTATTACAGTATGCTAATCAAAAATTAGAGAAAGGCGATTATACTTTGAAAATACATGTACGTCATGAAAAGAAAGATTTACTTGATAGATTAACGGAAATGCCGTTCCTTTTAAGTCACACACTAAGTAATCCAATTAGTCTAGATGTATATGCCAGTCAGTCACAAGCCATTATCGGTGGCAAGAAAATGATAGCAGCTTCAGTCCCACCTGGCCACATTCTTCCTTTGTATATTGCTCCTTTATCGAATGAAAACAAGTAAGTATTTTATTTGAAGCATAATATTTTTTTTTTAATACTATATATGACAAGGATTATTATTTACTATGATGTTAAAGAAAGTGTATAATTATTTTAAAGTTCATTCACGCATAGCTTATATACCTTCCTAAGATTATTATTTTACATTCATTTTGCATGTAGCAGTACATATATTATTTCCTTATGCAAATAAAAATTGGTGCATGAATGTAAGATGTAGTATATATGCAAGATGTGTACGTTCAAAAAATGTTAGATCAGATAATTTGTGAAAAATTGTTTTATATTTCTTTTTATTAATCAACTGTTTCTAAAGTATTACTAAGAAAGTTTTCTTTTTTTTTTTCGTTCCGCACTGCAGCGCTGAAAACAAGTAAGTCTATAGCATTCTTTCTGTAAACATTTTTAAACATTTACATGCTTCTAATTAAAAATAACATTAATTAAAGCAGATTTTTCTTTAATAGATATACTTCTATTTTATGCATTACTTCATTGCATCAATATTTTTATTTAGTTTCGTGAATTTACATGCTTTATTATTTAAAAAACATTTTATTTATTGCTTACATTTTAGATCTGAATATTTAGATCAATATGTGTATCTGTGCATACTAGAAGATTTTTTAATAAATTTTACATAGTGGTTTTGCTTTGTATACACATAATATTTTAGGAATAATGCTTTATGTATGCTTTTTTAAACATAAAAATGCTATACACTTCCTTTTTATCTTAATTTGTTACCTTCACGTTTGATTTCGTTTATAACATTTTGTTGTAGCGAGATTCTTAGGCAATATTAATCTGTTCGAAAGAAAACGAAATTTCTATTTCATTTTAAAGAGTTTCCAGAGGTGCTGCCTTAGGAAATGTTAGTTACTTACAGGGTACACTGACCTTCTGTAAAGATGATAATGGAAGGAAGGTGGATTTCCATACGTTTAAATATATTTTATCTGAACCAAATAAAAAATCTAGTAGCAGCAGTAGTAGCAGTAGTCCCTATCATTCATCAAACAAAGAAAAAACTACTAAGTGGGATGAATACAATGAAGCACTCAGGGATTTCAAATGCAGTTGGCTTACAAAGCTGGGTAATCAGATTTTTCACTCATCTAATATTGATTATATATAATTACATATTGTGTAAGGTTTAGCATCATATAAATATCTTGTTTTTCTTTCCGGTTTCAATTCAACAAATAGCGCCTTCTACGAGTAAGTTCATTAGAGTGCAATAAAACGTTACTCCAAAATTTGATTTGAAACCCCGTTCAGTTCCGTTTAGATGATTATCGAATTTTCTTATAGCTATTTGTTTTATTCCATTGCACGACTATGTAATATGCATAACAAATAATTTACTATAATTTGTCTTTTCTTTTGTGATGTTCAAAAGAAATTATTAGTAATAATATATATCACTTAACAACATAATTTCAACACAAACATAAACGTATATGTACATTAGAATAATTCATTTCAAACAAGTTTATACAAAACCTGTCCTATTGTTTTTAATGCAAGCATATGTCCACATTTTTATATTATTATTTGAAAATATAATTAATTTGGTATTATTACTAATAGAACCTGGAGAATATGCAAATCTACTCTATGGAGAATTAAAGAATCTTTTTTCTGACCATCTGCCCGTTCACACTGCCATGCTGATTTCTTTGGACTCACCTGAAGCTCGACGTCATGTACCACACGATGACATTTCAGAAGAATCTGTTTCTCTAGCAAATCAAATAATAACTGTCGCAGATGCCGTGATTACAAATATTGATCAAGATAAGCTCTTAGCCTATTATGGTTTAAAAAGCGATCAACGTGATGATGCAGCAAAAATTAGAACCACTATGGAGAAACAGAAACTTAGCTTGATAAAAGCATTAGTAAAGAAAGGATGTGCATTAGCGCGATTGTACGTACATAGTGCAAAAAAAGGAGAGGGAGATCGTCAGTCATATGAACATTTATTAGAGAGTGTAACACATCACTGGCAAGAAGTACAAAAATTCGCTGAACCAACTGACATTAAGGCAAGAAATTTTGAAATATGGTTACTGTTATTTAACAATTATTATTACTTGTTTAAAGAAGCTATATGTAAAAACAAAATACTTCTTTACTTGCAGGTCATTACTCTCTCACTGTGGCATGCTCACATTAATAATCATTATGGTCGTTATTTGAAATTATTGTTGCGTTATTACGAAGACAACCCATTAAAAGAAGTTGATGAGAAATGTATAGAACTTGCAAATATCTTAGGATGGGAACATTTGTCACGTCACATTAAGACAAGTATACCGTCGCGCTATCCTCCTTCGTACAGATCGTTTTGATCAATGGTAATTGATACTCATTTAATTCTAAATTAGTTGTAAAGTATAATGAAGTGCACAGGTATCTTTTGTAGGTACAGAGGAATCAATTTGATATTCTGATAATGGAAACTAATCATGGCGAACAGTTTCCAATGCATCTCTATGCCAGAACTATTTCTGTTGAGTCATTCAAGTGTATTATACACTTATAAATATATACTTGTGTTCATACTTTTAAAAAAGTACGAAAAAATGATTTTAGAAAAATATATTAATTTTTAAACGTAAGAAATTAAACATAAGAAATTATATTACTAAAAGTACCGCTGTTTTAATAGTGCATTTTTATGGCGTTTATTGCATTAAAAGAGAAAGAAGCGCCAGAATATCATGGAAACTGTTATCAATTTAGAAATTAAAGTTTTTAAACAATAATGTGTTGTTTGAGAACATTCATTTCAATTAACATAATGTATATCATTTAAAATTATTTAGGTTTTTCCATTTTTACAATATATTAAATGTAAATAAATATATATATTATATATATACATATGTATACATACAGGTATTTTCTTTATATCCACAGTATAGTAGTAGCGTTATCGTACTGGATTCTGTTATTTAAAACTGTATACATTTACTTATGTGACTGTGAGATTCATATATAATATATTCAGGTTTTGCTGTCATGGTGTTACATATAGCAAATGTTTCTTCACTTTATACAATAAGCGTTAAGTGCGCTGGTGTGTATAATGAGAAAAACAAAAAATAATTAAAGCTCTATTTGAATTTTATAGTGAATATGAAATGTAAAAGGTAATTCATACTTTTCCGTTTTCTTGCTGTTTTAAATTCAATAATTGGAGAATAATTGCTTAATATTGATTGCGCTAGAGCTGTACTATTAAAGGCCAAGATAAAAATAATAAATGCACTAATACTAGCCTTTTAAAAGAAAATAGAATGTCTTATTTTCAAGAAAAACTTACATTAAAGCTTCAATTCTGCTCCATTAGTACGAAGTTGCATACATATATTTCTATTCGATTTACGTAAATATAAAAACAAATTCACCGTTCAACCAGCTTCATGGCTCTTAATAGTTGGAACATTAAATTTTTTGTAAAAATATACTAAGTCAAGATAAGAAAAAATGCTTTCACACGTAAAAATTTACAAGTAATAAATGACACGTCAACCGAAATTTTTATAAAGAGTTATGTCCTTATCGCTGTCGCTCAACTCTTATTTGTCTTCGTATGCGAAAAACTATTTCGAAAATAACGTGAAAGTACTTTGGTACAATCAGGAATTTTCACAAAGTCGATTCCCACCAGGACAAACAAGTAAAAAAGATATCTTCTCTTTTATTTTATCTGCACCGTTCCGAGTACAATATATAATTTTTAACACAATTCTAGTTAGCGAAGCATGTACTCTTATTTGCCTCCTTGTTGCTCAACGAATATCTCAAACAGGATTAATAATATACGATGCGGAAAAATCTCCTAAACTTATTGCTATTATAGCTGAAGCTATGATAGAGGGTAATACTATTCACGCATGGATTGTTAAAAAAGGTTTAGTTTCTCATCCTTATCTCAGTACAGAAGAGGCACTGAGACTTGGGGGCAAAAGTTTAAGTCTATTGAGAGAATGGGTACAAATTAAATTTACATTTTATTATCTCTATTTTGCAATGATTTTGTAATTTATGTAGAATTTGTTTACTCGACAAGATAGGATATAAAACAATATTAATTATTATAGACATTTCAAGTATTTCATGAAAAAATTCAAAGAGGTTTATATCAACATATAAGTAATTTCTTACACAAATGGTACTTAGCACCAAAGTCTAAGAATTTATTTATGCTTCTTATTACTTGTGGACGAACAGTACTGTTTATATTTCAGGAAAAGACTTATATGGTAAGCAAATTAGCAAAATCTGTAAAAATGTTTCTACATAAAACTTTCATCTGTAGGTAACTTTTTTTGACTCTCATAGTCATAGTACAATTACAAATCCAAATCGGGGATTAGTTATTGCACAGGTAAGGATCTGTAACTATATATAGCAAAATCAATATTTGATAAATACTGCAATATTTTATATTTTTAAGTGATAGTAATGCATGTCATATTAACAGTAAAAAAAATAATGTAGACATATATAGAGAATTTGGAACATTTATGCAATTGGTACACGAAGGATATATTAAATAAATGTTACAATACAAAAGCAAACCAATATGAGCTAGCCTTTTTATATCCATCCAATTCACCATGCTGTGGCTGTGATCCTGTATGTAACTGTGGCAATCATTGCAAAAAACAATAACACATAATCCTTACTTTTCAAATGTCAATATGTAAACTTTTTAAAGTTATACATATACATACAAATATATTTTAAAAAAAGTAAAATTTATATATGTAACTTCATTATGATGTGTGTATATATGAAATAATCATGGAACTTTTTGTTTAATTAGACATATTATTTAGATTAAGACTGACGGATTTATTTACATTATGTACAATTTCTTCCTAAAACTATTACAATTTTTTAGTGTTTACGCAATGCATAAACTATTAAAAAAATAAAGTAGCTTAAGTCTGAAAATCGTATTTTCTTTAATATTACTTAAATAAAATGTAATATACATTTTTCGTGAATTTTTTCTGCATTGCGCAAACATATTTCTGACAATATTTTACTGGACTCTCCTTTTTATATTGAATGCATATGTTACGAACTGTTTTCATTTTACCTATTTTAACATTTTTATAAAATATAATCCAAAATTTCTGGACGACGTATTTTTTATATTGCTAATTCTCTACTTTGCACCTTTCAATGTCAATATATCTAAACTGATATAATGTTCTGGTTCCTTAACTGTTAACCATAAAGTTGCAGAGATATATATTTTTTTACACTATATTTCTTTAATCTCTTTGTATTATATATAAATTAAAATGATTAGTAGTAAATTGATGTACTTTACTAAACTACAAAAGCATTAATCACATATTGCATTGTGAAGTAGGGAGAAAATACAAAACTGAAAATGTTATTTATAACTTCAACATTTCGTAGTACAAGCAAAAAGTCTGTTATGAAGATTAAATCTGCTTTTATCAGTTGTTCATTATTTTTAATCATTTGATGTGTACTCGATTCAAACATGCCTTGGAATCAATAAATATTTATAATCACGATTTTTATGACATTATAAAAAAATATATTTTATCTGCACTAATTATAAATGAAACCCATAATTTAAACTTGTAAAAAATTCTTAATTTATTTTCCCTAACATCTATTATACCTCAGAATTACAATATAAATATTACTCTTCGCTAATAAAACAAAAACAAATCTTTTTCTGTCACCATTTAAATCGGTGATTGTAAAAAAGATAAGTATACCAGTGCCGAAATAGCAATACATTTAAAATACAGATTTCTCTCTGTGTTTTCTTTTGTTTGTATGTATATTACAAGTGTTCTGTAGAGTGTCGTAAAATTTATTTAATAACAATTTTTAACAACGTAATTTCTAGAAATTACTATCTACAAAAAGGTATAAACGAATAATTTTTATGATTTTTCCTTTTCGAAGCCAAATTCGTGCAAAGGAACACAGTCAGCGATTTCTTCCGATGTTTGCAAATACCTTCGGTAATTGAGCAACATTTTTTTACTGTTATTGTTTTTTCGAACAAACTGATCACATCATATTACTTTGTACAGATAGGTATATAATAATGCAACTCTTATGTATAATTTTAATAGTTACATAATTTGAGATTAAACGATATAAAACCTGTAATTTTATATGAAATTAACTTATTGCTTATAAGCAATAGTTTCTTCTCTTATATAATTTTGTTTACATATTACAGAGTTATTATACACTAAATTGATCCTAGCAATTGTAATACTCCTTTGCTATATATTCTGTACACAAAGTAAAATGATGCTCTATCAGAAAAATATGATCAAGTATCACTTGAAGAATATAAGATTTTATAATTGAATAAATAAAGCTTTTTTTTATATGAAGTTAAAGACGTAACAAAAAGATGTTAGAGGGACTGACGAATACGGGGTTGTGCCCATTCTACAAAATCATCTATCAGTACAGGCCAGGCTCCCTCTTCATCGTAATTACTCATATCTGGGTTGATCATGAGTGCAAAGTCTAATAATAAATTCCATGTATCTTTTGGAATTGATCTCTTATGGTGTTCCTAAAAAATTGCGTGAAGTATTTTGTATCATAATTTAGCTAGACAATATGTAAGCTTCCTTCTTAGGCTTAACCAATATTTATATTATAGTTCATATGTACATATACATTAGATATCATACCTGTAAAAATTGACACCATAAAGGGAGGAACTTAAATTTATCATCTAATACAATGTTCCAATAAGCAATTGCCATATCGAGATCCAAACCTTTCTGTCCTGGGTTTTTTGCATAATTAAACGTAAACTGATAAAAGTCTTTAAATTTTTGAGGATCCCTTAATTCATTTTCTAAACTACTTAAGCAGGCTTTTAATTTATCTATACTGTCCACTCTAAACAATAAGTTTAATATACGTTAATAATAATATAACTTTAATATAAACACTATTAAAATACATTAAGGATTCAATTCTTTTAGAAAAAAGAACATTAAAAAATTTGCTTTACCCTAAATCTGTCATTCCATTCATAAATTCATCTTTAGTAAATTCACATTGTGTTTCTGCTCTGAATTTCCATGCAATGATTAATACTAATTTGCTTTCAGGGCTTAAATCCAAATCATCCAAAAATTTCATTATTCCATCTGCTGTAATCTTGTCAGGTTCATTTGGATCTATTTCAATTATCAAATTAAACATTACGCAAACGTTACAGGCATATTTTTAATCTTATGTGTACATAGCTATTATGTGTCAAGCATTATTCATAGAATTACCTTGATATCGACTAAATAATATTTCTAGTTTCTTTTTATCTACTGTATTTTTTGGTTCTTTACAATATGCCTCAGGATTTTGGAAATAATTATCACTTGCCAAGTCTAGCTTCCAATCATTTTGTGCTAAACAATATATTGCAGTTTGTTCTCCAGTGTGTGTAAAAGTTATGAATTTCTTCACTTTATCTCTTTGTGAGAACTTTAACTTATGCTGCAACAAAGATTAGAATTACATTATTATATATTCCAAAGATTAATATAAAAAAATTATAAGTTCTCCTACTATACAACATTGAATATCACGTTAAATAAAAAATCTGCTCATGACCATGTATGTATGCATTATAATGTTTCACAATTTTTTAATTTATAACAATGAAATCAACATGGACGAGAACGTATAAACAAAGATTTTGTTGCATTTACAATAGCTATTGTTACTACTTTGAGTAGCACCTTGTTGATTCTAAGAAATGTGATAATACCTTCGTGACAATGTAATTTATTAGACTAAAAAGATCATGTATTATTTTGCAATGTCGTTAATCAGAAGGTATGTCACGAAATTGATTTGTATTTAATGCAAAAGGGAACAGTAACGTTGACTCATGATAGGTTACTTTAACATTTTTAATACACTGTCTTGGACATATAAGGGAAACTGTAGCTTTTTTAGTAAAATTAAGTCACGAGGATCGTTGGATTAACATAATCCATAAATCTACTAAGTGCTCACCATTTTAGTTAATTTTAGGCCCCCGAAAGCCAAAATATTATTTCCTTTGCACTACACTTGACATGAACATGCGCATGTTCTGTGAAGGCCCTGAGAAATGCAAATACACCAACAAGATTATAAAGCAATGCCACCAGACGTTACCAGAGGAAAGTAACTTCGAGAACAATGTCGCGGGTTATTTAAAAGATTTGCATACATTCAATTTATTAAACATTGTATTTTTCGATACGATCAGATTAAAAAATTCATCGAAAACGTCACGTGATTCGGTTTTACGTCCGGTGGCATCGGTGAAAATCTTTCTTTTTTCTGCGTTTTGTAGAAATCACGACGGATGAAAGTCTTTGTGAAATAACAACAAAACGCTATCGTAAATATTGGCCCACGCAAATGAATGCCTATACTATACACTAAGTTACAAGGCCGTACGTCAAAAACCGAATGAATAAACATTAATGAAGACACAGCAGTATTTTTATTGATACTGTTTTAGAATGAATTATTATTGGCTCATTGTGAACCTTTGATGGGAAATCTTGTGATTTTGTCAATTCTCTATGCGTATTTTATATGGTTGAACAATTTTTTAAATAAGAATGTACATAAAGTAAAATATATTCGTCAAATTAGTTTATAATAACATTAATGATTTGTTTCTAATGATAATTGGTTGTGTTTTCAAAAAATGTGAGCGGAAAATACTTTGTTGTTAGGTTATTAGTGAATAATGTCAATCAAAATTCCACAATTATCATGTTCTTGGTAAGTATATTCATGAGCATCATAATTTTGCTACTTATATCATCCTTGCTATAAAAAGATATATAATAATATATCGTTAATATTTTGTGTGAAATAAAGAAAATAATGTTGCTTATTATAACAATGTCTTCTCATTGTGTTGGCAGGAATTTGTCAAACAATCACAAAATAAGTTTATTGATTTGAAATTTAAATAAACATGAATGATAATCTATAACACGATGGGAGGAAGTATATTTGAAATACTTCCATTGTACCATCAAAATGGAAGTGGCAGAGAAATTTGTCATTGGATAACACATATCAAATTATCTAGAATTATAATGTTAACATCCGCTGTTTTATTCATTGTACCATTATTTACTCACTATTATTTATCAAAGGTACTGTTTTTTATCCTATATGTATATATATATTTAGATAAAAATGTTATATGTATGAATGATAAATTCAAAATTAAAAATTTTTTATTTTTAGGTGGAATCTGACTCTCCAGATAAAGACATTTATCGTACATTTTCCACACTGGAAGCTTTTGAAGATTTTACTCCTATGAAAGCTTCTCAGTTGAAGATGAGAATAGAGGAGATGCTACGTATTAAAGTTTCTGTAAATAATGAGCTTAGGGATTTGAGTGCAAAGAGACAAAGACTTCAGATCGAAGTTAGTAGCTTAACTCAAAGAATTGATGAATTAAAACAGGAATTATTACACCAGCAAACAGATCTCGATAGATTAAAAATCAGTGTTGAACAAGCACAAGTAGCTCAAAGAGAAGCAGTGGAAAGAAATACACCAGAATTGGCTCCACCCAAACGTATTTTAATGAATTCTATTCCTGTAGTATTACCTAGCACAATTCCACATTTGTGTAGAATGTATAATTGTTTTGACCACAGTCGATGTGCATTGACTAGTGGTTTTCCAGTATACTTGTATGATCCTGATCAGTATTCTGTAGTAAATTCTGGATGGGATGTTGATGGATTTTTGAAAACTACCATAAAACAAACCTTAGGTATATATGGATAAATAATCTTTTATAATTATATATAAACGCTTTTTTTTATAAAAATTAATTAATACCTTTATTTTACAGGATACAATCCGCATCTTACTACAAATGCAGCCGAAGCTTGTATATACATAGTTCTTATAGGAGAAGCTCTCTCTACTCAACAAAATGTAGATAAAAAATTTCGTAAACCTATAGATGTAAGAAAATTACATGCACTCCCTTATTGGGGCGGAGATGGCAGAAATCATATTTTGTTAAACCTAGCACGTAGAGATCTGTCTGTAGAATCTGGAGATATTTTTAGTGGAGTAGATACAGGGAGAGCCATAATAGTCCAATCCACATTCTTTAGAAATCAATTTCGCGAAGGTTTTGATTTAGTTGTTCCTCCAATTTTGGGACCTCCGGGTGGCGACGTGTGGCAAGAATGTGCACAAATGTTGCCAGCAAGAAGAAAATATTTATTATCCTTTCAAGGAGAGATGAGATCTCCAAGAACGGCTACCATGACACATCAAATTGATGATGCAGATGTAGATATGGAAAGGCTAACAGTCGATGAAAATAATTTAGATGCTTTTATTATTCAACATCTTAAAGATATGAGTATAGGATTAACATTGGATAAATTTTTCATTCAGTTTGAATGTATACCAGCCTCTGAGGAGAAAAATTTAATAGAAATACTTGATTGGTCTCTGTGTGGAACCGATTCCTCGAGGAAAGCTATACTGAAAGAATCAACATTTACTTTAATTTTAGCTCCTAGCAATGCCTCGTTTGTAACTACTTCATCTATGCAGGCTAGATTATATGAAGCATTGCGATCGGGATCTATTCCAGTTTTTTTAGGTGGCGATCAAATTTTATTAAGTTACAGTGAAGTTATTAGCTGGCGCCGAGCTGCTATCTTCTTGCCAAAGGTAAAAACTACAATGTCCTTATCTTGATATTATTTTTTATTATTGGACATGTTTTAAATTTTAGGCTAGGGTAACAGAAATGCATTTTCTATTACGTGCCGTTCTCGACACTGATCTTTTAAGTATGCGTAGACAAGGCAGATTAATATGGGAACGTTATTTAAGTACTGCTCAAGGTGCTGTAGATACTATTATAGCTGTAATTAGGGACCGACTCGGCATACCACCCCTGCCAGCACCTCAGACTGCCAGTCCAAGTGTCTTTAATGAAAGCTTTGTGGTAAACGTTATAACATACAGTTATGCAGCTTCTTTTGTGTTACACGTAATAATTTTATTTTTTCTTCAGCCTTTAAAATCTGATACTATTATTGCTGAGCCGGAAGCAGAAGAAAGTCTGGGTCCTTTAGAGCCACCTTATCCATCTCCTGCTTTTAAAAGGAATTATACCACAATGCTGCTGCAAGGGCATGAAATCTGGAACGATTGGGTGGATCCGTTTTATTTGTACCCACAATTACCTTTTGATACCGTTCTTCCTAGTGATGCAAAATTTCTTGGTAAATAAATTTATATTCTCCATCCAATAACAATGATTTCATTCGGTACATTATAAACTGTAGGTTCTGAAATGGGATTCAGACCAATTGGCAAAGGTGCTGGAGGTGCAGGTAAAGAATTTAGCGAAGCTTTAGGTGGAAATTATCCAAGAGAACAATTTACAATTGTTATGTTGACATATGAACGAGAGCAAGTGCTTATAAATTCTTTGGCTCGGTTGTATGGTTTGCCATATTTAAATAAAGTGCTAATAGTGTGGAATAGTCCAAAACCACCCATGGAAGACCTAAAATGGCCTGATATTGGAGTTCCAATTCATGTAAGCTTTTTTCTAAAAATTAAGTGAGTATATTCAGTTAGTGAATTATAAGCAAAAGTAGTGATTTCTTTTTATGTAGGTAATCAAGGCTCCACGGAATAGTTTGAACAATAGGTTTCTTCCATTTGATGCTATTGAAACTGAAGCTGTTCTTTCAGTAGACGATGACGCTCATTTACGACACGATGAAATTATGTTTGGATTCAGGGTGTGGAGAGAGCACCGAGATCGTGTGGTTGGATTTCCCGGTCGTTTCCATGCATGGGACCAGAATTATCACAATGCGTGGAACTATAATTCTAATTATTCCTGCGAATTATCAATGGTTTTAACTGGTGCCGCATTCATTCATAAACACTATACATATCTTTATACACACTGGTTACCGCAAGCAATACGCGACAAGGTTGATGAATATATGAACTGTGAAGATATTGCTATGAACTTTCTGATATCTCATCTCACAAGAAAACCACCTGTTAAGGTGAATGCCAATACGCGTGAAATATTTAATATGCTTGTAACGCTTAACCAAATTTCTCTTTCTTTGTTCAGGTTACATCGCGTTGGACTTTTAGATGTCCTGGATGTCCAGTTTCTCTTTCTGAAGATGATACTCATTTTCAAGAAAGGCACAAATGCATCAATTTCTTCTCTCAGGTAAGTGTGTTTTACTATTTTTTATCAATATTTTTATTGTTTTTTCCACATGTCATTTCCAAAAATGAAATGTAGTTGCAGTGGGTGTATTGTAAAAATCGAAATTCTAATAATTTCAGGTCTTTGGATACATGCCTCTCTTAAACACTCAATATCGAGCTGATTCGATATTATTTAAAACGAGAATTCCACATGATAAACAAAAATGTTTTAAATTTATATAAAAGAGAAAAAAGTAAAAATAATAGAATTATATATATATATATATGTATATATATAATTATATACATTTAGTAAATATCACTTGATAGAATTTACATGATTTTGATAAAATTTTGACTGAATTTCCTATAAAGTATATAAATACATAGGACAAACATCGTAGGATTTTTTATTGTCGTCACTTTTTTATTATACCTTTTTTTATCGATGTACACGTTGATTGAGTGAAATGCACGTTCGAAAAAATTTAATGATGAAACATTGTTGACTGCATACATATATTATAGTGAATATAGGACATAGTGCGTAATCTTTTTATGTCCTCGTACACATAACTTATATCACACCAATGATAACGATTTACGGCGGAGCGTAATAAATTTATTTACAAAACCGAGTTTAGTTTTACGATGCACGAAGCAGGACGAAAAATATAAAAAATGATATTGAAGATGTATACAATACACATATGTATATGTTAAAAGTTCTATACGACCGAATTGGAATACATCACTTTTAATTTATTTGAGAGTACAACTAATATGAATACGATCGTTACTCTTCAGTGATTATTGTTATGTACAATTTGCACAATAATCTCATTTGTACATAACGACAGTGTAAACTACGCTATCTAGGAATTATGCTTATCGAGATAATGTAAATAACTATAACTAAATGGAAATAATTAAATATTACTGTTATGGCAGTGTGCGCTAGTGAATGAATACGAAAATGTATTCCATACAAAATTGAGAAAAAGTGCTCCTTCTATTAGAAAATCGATAAAAAATATTTATATCAACGTATAATTATCTTTTCTTTCTAATTTCGCTTGCCATTTATTCTTACATTGCTCTTTGATAATGCTTCAATTGTTATATGTTATTTTCCACCTAAATGTGCCAAATTTGTAAGAATTTAAATTAGCTTCTCTTGATCTATTAATTTCACATAATACTCTTAACAAATTATTTATAAGTACGTGTACCGCACATTATTCAATTTTATGTAACGCATTGCAATCATTATGAAACATGATATATGTAAAAATGATTTTGTCTAATCTTACACGATTGATTGTAAAATTTGACCTGAATTGAGTTCAGATGCACGTGCAAGAAAATAAAAATATATATTATTTATGATTGTACATTGGAACCTGATTTACGATCCGTATAATATTACTTTTTATTTGATTCTCGCGAAAGAAAGATACGATTCAGTATCTTTGGCTACCCTCCATACATCATTAATCATGCGTGTATTGCATACCATAAAAGCAGATCAGCAGAGTCTACTACTTTAGGTTGATGGCTGTTGGCAGCTGATTTTAATATTGCTCTTGATTGATCGACATTTAAGATGTGATCTGTCGAAACAACATTTTTTTTCATTTGCATAAAATCTTTAGATATTTTTTTATCCTACTTTCTATCGAAATTTATGTTAAAATAAGGTAATGTAAGGCACTAGTGCTTAAGACAGTACATACTGTCATCGCTAGTCAGCCGCGCGCCAGTAGTATTAATACCGTCTATGTCAGACGTTCGTCGTCCAAGCGCAGCAACAAATTTCTCATTCTACTTATGATTTTATTCGTAAATTACGATTTTATTATTATCGATTAATTGGGAAATTCATCGCATTAGACTCTGAAACACATCTACATACAATGTACATTGCACAAGACCATCATTCAACAACTTTCAAGATAATTATCGCCAATGATGTGCGATTTCGCGACATCAATGTTCGACGAGAAAATTCATACTTTCCCGGCTTAGAGTGTTGGCGGTGACGCATTCGAATTCACCGCCAGAACAGTAAGAGTAACACCGTTGCGGCGGTGAACCCCATTGGCCTAGGGTGCGATCAATACCAGGTTTTCCATGACGTAAGTGCGACCTGTGATCCTTATTGGTTCGAACATACACCGCATCCCATTATTTATTAAGACCGCATGAATGGATCGTTTCTCAGCGATCAACTCGATGAAACCTAAACTCAAAGAATCGTCGTACGCCTACAAATAGGACCCGGAAGCTGGCGCACGTTCCTGTAAAATCAGGAGAGTGGAAGTGGCCGCGAGCGACAGACGTCCTTTCAGGACGCGTATCTGCCTCCCCACCTTGGGCCTGGCACATGCACGGGAAGAGAGCGGAATTCGTGCAGGTCGGGTGGTGGTCCCGAATGGACAAACACGTAGGAGAGGGGGTGTGTGAGTAGTTCGCGCAACTGCGGTCGTACACAAGTACGAGCCGTAGGAGGGTGTCCTCCGCGGTGAAAGGTCTCGGTGGTTTTCGACTCGGTTCTCCCGTTTCTTTTGTTTCTTCCATGAACGATAGCGAGTGGAGCCGAGGGCCGTTGGTTCGTCGTCGGTGGTTCGCGCGATTTCGATGCCAGAATTCTAACAGGAAGTCGATTCGCGGTCGGAAATTAGCCCCTTTCGCGGAGACCGGTTTTCTCGTTTCAGCTCGTTGCGGAGAGGGACGAGGGAAAGGGGCGAACGAGATAGAAGCAGATAGCGTGGGTAGAGGGAGAAAGATGTAGGCGATCGGTGGGAGAAGGGGTGAAAGGGAGACAGAGAGGGCGAAGGAGGAGGTGGAGAAAGAGAGAGAAGGAGAGACCGAGCCGTCAGCGAGAGTAGTACCAATCGCGGAGCGTTGGCGGACATAAGCGCGCTAGGGGTGTGGAATAAGCTCATTCGTGTGTTGTTCTAGCATCGAGCGTTAGCGAGAAAGGAAACGTTGAAACACAGAAATGAGAGAATATCGTTCGCTTAGCTGTTCGCCGTCAACGATTCGACTGGACGCCGTTACCATCGTCTACTCGCGTGTGTAATCAGTGCGAGCAACGGAAAACTCAGAGCCAAGCACGGAGTCACCCGCGATAACACCGTAAGTGGTCGTTTTACATCGACGAGGGAAGATAGTACGAGAATCCATATTTCCGTGGAAATAAATTATAACGCGGGGGTTCGTAAACGAGCGAACAGCTGACACCGCGAGCTGCTAATCGCACGAACGCGACTTGAAAACGTCGTGAACAGCCGGTCAGCTGAGAAAACGGCTCTCGTGGGTGTGGAACAATCCGGTCTAGGGCGATTGATTGTGTGGGTGTCGCGGTCGCTGCAGAGACGTCGAAGAGCGCCATCGTCGTCTCGGCCGCCACGTGAATCGCAAACACTGAGAAGAATACTTGTAGCGTTGAATATCGTCTGGAAGCGAGGCATACGTGGCACGGATTTCCTCGTATGATCGAGGCTACGCGTGTATTCTACCGCTCGCATTAACGCGTTTCTTGTGTCGATTCATTTTCCAAGGATTCGTCTGCTTTCAACTTGTGAAATTTTGTTGATCGCACCTCGATGTTTTTGAAGAATTTTACGATTAATTTTGCTGTGATACAACACGACGTTACGTTGTTTTATAGTTGAAGAAGACGAGAAAATACATACATGGAAGAGTGTTTTTCTGTGCACGATTCGAGGCTGAAGAAGAAAAATCCCGAGAGCCAGTAGATATTATACCCAGTGACCCGTTTCCGTTCGAAATCGATGAAATTCCGAAAACGTTTGACAGAGGTCAGAAACACGACCACGTAGCCATTATTATCGTATCGTATCCGATTGGTCGCGCGGCCGTCAACGCGACACTTGGCTAGTGCTGAAACGCGGACTGGTCTCGTTTAACCGGTGGCAGAAGCGCTCCACCTGCGCCCGCCGTGTATAGGATCGCGTATTCCCCTGCAAAGTTCAAGAACCTGGGCTTCGTGTGTACGGCAGAAACGAGTGCACCAACGGCACCCGTGACCCGTTTTCGTTTTCAATCGATGTACTCGTGAACTGGGCCGCTCGTTCGCTTGAAACCTCGATACCTCGCGAGGTGTTCGACCATCAAAACAGAGGGAACAGGGTAAACAAATCTGCGAACCGTGAATCATAGAGTACAAGATACGATAGTCGTATAGACAGAGATACACGAGGAAGAAGAGTAGATTAAGATAAAGAAAAGAATCGGAGCACTTTAGAGAGAAGCAAAGAGAGCGGGGGAGAGCAGTGCGCACATTCTAACCTCGCAGCCGCCATATCGAGGACGCGAGGAGGAAGCTCGTCGAAGGTCGCTTTCGAGGAACACCTGGGGGACAGCCCTCGTATCGTTCCATGCTGGCTTCGAGCGGAGAACTAGGATCGGGGACGGAAGAGAGAATGCGAGAACCTCCACACAGCCTGTGAAACATGATTTGTCATACAGATGCGGTCGTTGGTAATCGTACGACGAGAGATAACGACGACGAGGACGCCGACGGAGACGAGGATCACGGATCTATCCAGCGTCGCGTCGATGCCTCGACGAGTCTCGATGACGCTCGCATGAGAGCCAGCCTCGAGGCGGACGATAAGACGCGTACGAACAAGACAGTCCGGTGTCGAGTGGCTTCCACTTGTCCAGTCGAACGTCGGGCGAAC